TGCATCTTTAAAAATAGATTTGGGTTCTATAACAGATACACCTGGGCCCCATTTGGGTTTCCCTATTATTGCCACAATGTCTTAGGTTGTCAAACCAAGACTTCATAAAAAATCAGAATTAGACCTCAGTGGAATGGAGACTAGTCTATCACGTGGGTAGAGACCAGTCTTGATCCAACAAGGCCTTATCTCCCAGTAACAGGTTTTCAGATGGGAAAATTTTAAAATATTTCGCAGTTGGTTCCCAGTATAGGGCTGCAGAGTCTTCTGGGAAATGTAGTCTCGCTGCCCGTTAACATCGCAGGCACCGGTGTACTTCTGCCCCTGCACATCCTCACTCACTGCGCCATCTGGGAAATGTAGTTTTGCCCAGCAATGACGTTACCCTCAGAGGACTACTACCGGACAGGCTTTTCCGTAATTCTCCTGCGCATGTGCTGCTCCGCCCACTCCGCCATGTTTTTGTCTGGAACTTCCGGTCGCTTTTGCCATCCCGGCGCTGCGTCTCAGAGCCTGGGTTTGGATTGTACCTCCCTGAAGGTGGGTGTGAGGGTGAAAGAGGAACCCCCAGGCCTCCGGACCCTGGGGAGTAGGACGGGTGTCCCGGCACTTGTTGGGCAGAAGCGCCGCGGGCCTGGGGCGGGCGGGGCCTGACGTGCGGCGCGAGCGCGGACCTGGGCCGGGCGGGGAAGGGGCGCCCGGGCTGCGCTTTCCACAACGGCCCCGTCAGAGGAGGGCGCTGCCGGAAGGCGGGCGTGCGCTGCCGGGTGTGCAGAAGCCGGTTCCATATGTCCCAGAACGGGGGCTCAAGTCCAAGGTGGCCACGGGAACGTGGGTGGGGGCGTGTGAAGACAGCGAGCCCTGGAGGTCCAGCTTCGCCATCAGGGAGCCTGGTACCGACCTATGGGACGTTCACTTTACCCATCTGTGACATGAGCGTGTTGATATTAGTGTAATGTCCGCACATTCCCAGAGAAATAATTGTGAGGTGTGTGCACACTGTTACTCTTTGGCTGTTGTGGTTGTGGGGTGTCTTGTCTCTTCAGCAAGCCAAGTTTCTGGTCCCTCCTGCACTGTGCAGCCTGCCTAGCGCTCCAGGTTTGTGTTTACAGAAATTGATACACTGTCTTGTTTCCAGGACAGTGACTTCTAGGATGGAGATTAGGGCATTGGTTTTTGCTCCTGTTTTCTTTGGAGTGAAGGAGATGTGACAAACTTAGAAAGAGGGCGTCCTGTGAGTAACAGTCCCACCTGGAAGAACATCATTGTGACCGGAACACTCTCAGCACTGCTTCAGTCCCAAAAAGGGGAAGATCCTAGCTTTGCACAACCTAAGCAATAACTGTGTCTAGTACTTAGTGCACCAGAGTTGGCTGATAATACCTCATTCAGTAGCTCTTTGAGACTGGGTGATATTGGAAGGTTTGGACCAACTTTCAGAAGGGAGCGATGAATCAGACTGAGAAAGAGAGGCAAGGACCTAGGAGATGTTACTTATTGAAGAGGGTTTGAAGGTGTTCTGTGGGGTGCAGGAATAACCTGC